GGTTCATCCATGTTATGTGGATGAACTTGTTCTTCAAGGTAGCATAATGTCCATTGTGTGTATGCACCAAAGTTTGTTTATCCATTCTTCCATTGATGGGCACTTAGGCTGTCTCCATCTTTTTGCTATTGTAAATAGTGCTGCTATGAACATTGGTGTGTATATATCTACTCATGTTATGGCTCGTATTTCTTGTAAATATACACCAAGTGGAGGAATTGCTGGATCATAAAGTATTTCTATTTTCAGCTTTCTGAGGAAGCGCCATACTGTTTTCCAGAGTGGTTGGAACATTTTGCAATCCCACCAGCAATGTAGGAGGGTCCCAGTCTCTCCACATCCTTGCCAGCATTTATTGTCCTCTGCTTTTTTGAACGTCATTGTTATTGCTGGTATGAGATGATATCTCATTGTTGTTTTGATTTGCCTCTCTCTAAGGAGCTCTGGTAAGGAGCTCTGGTAGCGTAGTGGTTACGAATCAGGCTGCGAACCTTAAGGTCAGCGGTTCAAAACTACCAGCCGCTCCACGGGAGAAAGATGAGGCTTTCTATCCCTGTAAAGATTTACACCCTCGGAAACCCTGTACAGGGTCGCTATGGGTCGGAACCGACTCGACGGCACTTAACAACAAGGAGCTCTGGTAAGGAGTCCTGGTGTGGTGCTGTGGGTTAATGCGCCAGTCTGCAAAGTCGTTTGAACTGCAAGGCGGTTCAAGCTCACCAGCTGCTCCTCGGAAACCCTATACAGGGTCACTATGGATCAGAACCAACTCAACGGCACTTAACAACAAGGAGCTCTGGTAGCACAGTGGTTACAATTTGGACTGCTAATCTCAGTCGAAACTACCATCTGTTCCCCGGGAGAAAGATGAGGCTTTCTGCTCCCGCAAAGATTTAAAGCCTCGGAAACCCTGTACAGGGTTGCTGAGTTGGAAACAACTCCACAGCACATAACAACAACAGACATATGTTTGTTGGCTGCCTGAATGTCTTCCTTGGTGAAGTGTCTGTTCATGTCCTTCCTGTGCCCGTTTTTTAATTGGGTTATTTGTCCTTTTCTTGTAGAGGTGTTGTAGTTTTCTATAGATTTTAGAATTAGTCCCTTGTCTGATAGGTCATCGCAAAAGATTTTTCCCATTCTGTGGGTTCCCTTTTTACTGTTTTGGTGAAATCTTTCGATGCACATAAATTTCTAATTTTTAGTATGTCAAAGTGGGTTATCTTTATGAACAGTCTGAAGTTTGGGGCTTTTTCTCAAACAAGTCCTTATTAAACCGGGAATTTGCCAGGGGAAAAAAAATATTTGAAGTCTTAAGTTGTAATACTGAAGAATTCTAAGGAGTCTTTCAACAGAGAAAGCATCAGAAGATGGCAGAGGAATACACAGAGCCACCATACCAAAGAGAATTGGTAAATGTTCAACCATTTCAGGAGGCCGCAGAGGGATGGTACTGAAGGCAGAAGTCCAAGCTGCACTGAAGGCATTGGGGGAAAGAAAGCTCCGGGGATTGACAGAATACAAACAGAAGTGTTTCAACCAACTAATGCAGCTCTGGAGAACCGAATGACTGGGAGGAGCTCAAACTACTAATCTTGTGGTTTACAAATCAGTTCTTATCATACAGAACCACCATACTCTCATACATGCTAATTGTTGTTATTGTTAAGTGGTGTACAGGGTTTCCAAAGAGCAGCTGGTAGCTTTGAACCGCTGACCTTTCAGTTAGCATTCCAGTGCTTATCCAACAGCGCCACATACTTGGTAGAGGGCCAGCAAAAAAAGAGAAAAGACCCCACGAGATGCATTGACACAGTAGCTGCAACAATGGGTTCAAACACAAGAATGACCGTGAGGATGCGGCAGTATTTCATTCTTTTGTATGAGGTGGAACAGTATCAGCAGCACCTAACAAAGACAAGAAAATAAGTTTGGCAAGGATCTTTGGGTACTACAAAGGGTTCTTGCAATCGATTACCGTGCTCAGCTGATAAGAAATGCTAATCCACCCAGAGGCGCTTCAGAAGAAAGGCCTGGAAATCTACTAGTTCTACAGCTGCTAAGAAATGCTAATCCACCCAGAGGCGCTTCAGAAGAAAGGCCTGGAAATCTACTAGTTCTACTTTGGCACACATAGGGTTGGTCACTGTCGTAATCAACCCCACGGCTACTGGTGGTGCTGGTAAATTTGTTGAAACACTCAAAGGATCAGAGAAATCGCTCCCCAAACACACAGTCCGGGCGTCCATAAGGCCTCAAAGTGTGATCCGCACAGGCGTCACAGCGCCGCTTCATCGACCTGGGTTCCACTTCGAATAATGGGTGAGTAGGAAAACATCGCTCCCATCAGGTGCTCGTGAACACACTCCGGCAGCGCAAGCCCACAAACACGGCTAGGCTTCCGCTCTCCCAACGCGTGCACGCACGGGTAGTGAACACTGTCCCCGCGCAGCACCGCCCGGCCGGTTCCCGCGGTCTGCAGCCAATTCAGGTTCTCGCCCCACTGCTGGAGGGATGTGGGCGGGGCAGAGGGTGCTCGCGCAGGAGGCGAAGAATTCTCATGGAAAGCGGAGCTTAAGCGGGATGTGGGCGGGGCGTCTGGGGCATTCGCGTGGGGATTCGTGCAGAGGGCGGGAAGCCGGCAGACCTTAGGCAGGGATCGTGGGAAGTTGGCGTAGGAGGCGGGGCGCTGGCGAGCGGTGGGCGGAGACTGTGGAGAGCTCGCTCAGAAGGCGGGCGAAGCCAGGGGAGCGGCGGGCTGAAGTTGCTGCTGACGCCGGTAGAGGTACCATGGAGGCCGAGCCGGGGCCGGAGAGGCGACCGCGAACCCCAGACCTGACGCCGGAGAGGGCGCCGCCGTCGGAGCCGGCGCCGAGCTGCGAACGGGCCCGGGAGCCTGAGCCGGCGCGGGGCCCAAGCCCCGGGCGACCAGAGGAGGGCGCCCAGGCTCTGGCCGAGTTCGCGGCGCTGCATGGGCCGGCACTGCGCGCATCGGGAGTCCCCGAGCTCTACTGGGGCCCTCTGCTGCACAAGCTGGAGCACGAGGTACGGAGGCCCGGCCCTTCTTCGGGGTGGGCGGAGGGGGGGCTGGCGCTGGACCGAGGCTGAGCCGAGGACGCGTCCGCCTGGAGGACAAGTGCAGTGGAGGGGTCAGAGTGGGAGAGGCCATCCAAGGGGAGTTTGCAGCCGGAGTGGCGCGGGGATGCTTGACTCGGAGGATTGGGGTATCCAGCATGGCTACAATTGAAGAGGTTTGATGTATCACTTGCTTGGCCGTCTAGGGCCTGAGGCCTGAGAATGAGCGACAGATAGGGGCCCAATTGCACGGCCCCCCTGCCAACTCCTGGGGCTAGGCCAGGGCCGCAGTGCGAACCGGAACTGACTCCAGCCCTGCTCCTATTGTAACTCCTCCACCCACCGATCCCCATGGCCCCTGGGAGGAGCAAGACTCTTTCACAGTTGAGAAAACTCAGGTTCAGGGAGGGGCAGTGACTCTCCCAAAGTCTGTTAGACTTCAAAGGCCGGAGCTTGCATTCAGCCACTGCCCCCCTTCCCCCCCGCAGAATGGGAGCCCCCCGAATGTGTGTGTTTGTGCCCATCATAGGATGGATTCTTTCGAGTTTCTCTATGTGATGTAATTCCTGTTTTGCAAGTTAAGGGAAATTGAGGCTATGAGTGATGGAGAAGGAATTTAAAGAAACATGAAAAAAGTTTATTGTTGTTGTGAAGTGCCATCGAGTCGGTTCCGACCCATAGCGATCCTGTATAGGCTTTCCGAGGAGCAGCTAGTGAGCTTGAACCACCGACCTTATAGTTCGAACGGCATTGCAGTCTGGCGCATTAACCCACAGCGCCACACCTGAAAAAAGATGTAGATGCTCCTAATTTCTGCCCTTTTTGGGGAAAATACTCCCATTCTACTCTAGGAGTCTATGCTAACCTGGCTGAAAAGTGGACCCTGGGTTTTGGTGGTTTACTGAGGAGCTGGGTGGAACTGCAGAGGGCGTTTTCTTAGCTACATCCAGGCTCCCATCCAGCCAGCCTGCCTCCTGGTCCAGACTAAGTGGTGAAGATGCGGGTAATACTGTGAAGCCCTAAAACCAGGAGTCCCCAGAGCCTAGCCATGTGGTAAACCTCACCCTCTGAGCCACTTTCCCCATCTGTAAAGTCGGGGTGACCCTGCGCCTCCTAAAGCATCTAAAAACAAAGACACTCAGTTTCACTAGCATTTCACTTATTGTAACTGCTGTGTGAGTTCCTAGGACCCCTAACTATGCCCCTTTTCCTGTGTGCTTACCTGGGGCGTGTGCTGGGCAAAAGGGAGGATTCAAAAATTCCTGGGTGCTAAGTGGAAACTGCCCGATGAGGTAGCGGCCTGGGCCCTAGTCCAGCCAGCCTCTGTTAGCAGTAAGTCCCAGGGCACGTCACACACCCTGAGGCTTGGTATGCAGCTCACAGATGGTGACAGAGGAGTGCCAGGCTCTGGGCCTCAGTGGGCTGCACTAGGGGACGCTCCAGCCAGGGCCCAGAGCCCAGCACCTAGTGGCTAGTCACCAAGCACCCGGTCCCCTCTGAGCTGGCTGCTGTTACTTGTTTTCCCATGAGCCTCCCTAGAAAGGGTTAGGTAGCTCACCTGTGAGTCCCAGCTTTACTACTGGCCTCTGCCGGGGCTCTAGGCCCAGGTGTCAGGGGACACAGCAGCCGAAAGGGCCCCCTTCAACCCCTGACAAGGCCCGCGTCCTTGGTGCCAGACTAAAAAGGAACCCTATCCTTTGGGAAGGATGGGAGGTTTCTTAGACATAAACGTCACCTCTGTATGCATGTCTTTGCCTGTCAGGAGATCAGTGCCCTTGGCTGTATCCCCCAAGCGCTCACCAAGACCCATCAGGGAGACACAGTAGCCCCTGCTCAGCTAAAAGCCAACCAGAGCAGGTTTTGAGGACAGGACCCAAAGTCCCACAGCTGCAGGTGGGCTCCAGGCCTCGGAACCTCTTCCCTGGTCTGTGAACAGGAGGGGAAGGGGGTGAGGCTCGTGCCTCAAGGAAGGAAGGAGATCTCACTGCGAGGCACCCAGAAGATGCCAGAGCACCCCTTGTCTTTGAGAGGGTCTCAGTCCTCTGAGTCCTGGCATTTGCTCTTGCTGGTTCCCCGGTCGGCATTCCTGTCACCCCCATTACATCATGCTGATTGCAAGTCCACCGCCATGTCTTCCCACGTGTCCTCTCAGGGCCTGGACCGGACTGCCCTGTGTCATTCACCCAGGCAAGATCACGTGATTCATGCCCCACCCCAAAGCACCCTCTCTGCTCTGGATACAGTCTCCATGAGGAGTTTCCAACTGCTGGGGAATTATGACTGGTTTTGGTAGAGCCTTGAAGAAGAGGTCTTAGCGGAGGCTGACCTTTTTCCATCCCCACAGTGTGTGCTGGTGTAGTTCATTCTGTCCTGGGAGGTGTGTGGCCCCCCCCTTCCCTTTAACAGATGAGGAACATCTCAGGGAACTGTGGTAGTGTGTGCTTAGGAATCACAGGCCATAGGCCAGGCCCTGTCTAAGCTCTGTTAGCATCAGTCACTTTATCCTATCAGAAATCCTCTGAGTTTTTACGTTCCCATTGTATGGATGAGAAAACTGAGGCACACATGGTCAAGGCGCTTGTTCAAGGTGAATACAGCAAGGAGGTGGCATAGTCAAGGCTGGAACCTACCTAGTGTGGCTCCAGAATCTTCCCTAGGCCCTGGGCTGAGCTGTGACAGACACACAGTGTGTGGGGCGGGCTGGAATTGGACCCGTGTGGCTGAAGCACAGAAGCAACGGCTTACCTGTCCACCTTGCTAGCCACACATGGCCCGTGATTGTCCCAATTAAGGGAGAGTGGAGGGCTAAGGCCCTTTCCTTCCATTCCACCTGGCCTCATGAGGGTGGTGCGGGGGAGCCAGGGCCTCCCCTCCTGCCGAGCCTGCACAGCTGAGTGGCTATCTGTGCCCACCGGGTTGCCGCTGCTGCTCCAACTTGGGCCTGGTTATTTGGGTGAGGGAGAAATTGATGTGGACCCCCAGGTCCCCGAGATGCTTCCATTTACATCCTGAATGGAATTTACAGCCTTTAGCTCTGATGTCCCTGGAGAACAAGGGATGAAGCCAAGTCCCCAGGATCAGTGTGTCCCATGGGGAGGGTGTGGTGGCATTCACCAGGGCAGATTACAGCTGCTTTGGGGCCAGTGTGTCTAGGAACCTCAGCTTCCCTCCCAGTAAGATGGTCCTGGTGCTCTGGAGTTGGGTTTGCCCTTGAGAGCTGGGTATGGCTGTCCCGCCACCAGACCCTGCTGAATGCTGCCCTGGCCCGCAGGTTTTCGATGCTGGGGAGATGTTTGGAATCGTGCAGGTGGAAGAAGTGGAGGAGAACGGGAGTGAGGCTGAGGAGGCTCGTGAAGCAAGGAGGAAGAGACCCAATCCCGGGGGCGACCTCTGCTACAGGGTCATCGTGACCAACGAGATGGGGCTGCGGGCAGCCGACCCCAGCAGGTAGGAATGTAAGCCTGGAGCTCACCAAAGCCACCGTCCTTCCCTGCCAGACTGTGTGACCCGGCCATTAGTGTGCCTTAGTCACCTTGTGGGTCACAAGTGGGATTGCTAAAGGCTAGGCCAGGAGTTCTAATCTACCAGCCGCTCCATGGGAGAAAGATGAGGCTTTCTGCTCCGGTAAAGATTTACAGCCTCGGAAACCCTATATAGGGTCACTCTGCATCAAAACCAGCTCCATAGTACACCACCAGCACCGGTGCCACGGATGTGTGTCAGCTCTGCAGAAAGCTGGTTTCACCATACTTGGTGCTGGTGTTGTGGGGTAGCGCTGTAGGATGAGCCCTGGACTGCTCACCACAAGGTGGACGATTCAAACCCACCAGCTGCTCCTCAGAAACCCTGTCTCAGGTCACTGTAACTGGTGACATTTAAAAGCAGCGCTGGCAAGAAGGACCCTTGGTGCTGCAGTGGTTAAAGTATTCGACTGCAAACCAAAAGGTCGGCAGTTCAAATCCTAAAGATGAGGCAGTCTGTTTGCATAAAGATTTATAGCCTGGGACGCCCTATGGGGCTGTTCTACTCTGTCCTAGAGAGTCGGTGTTGACCCGCCGGCATGGGTTTTGGGGTTTGGCTGTAGTTTATCACATGATCCCCGTGGTTTCGTGTTCAGCGTCTGTATCAACCAGGTGGTAGGTGGGGCGTCCTGCTACCCCCACTTTAGAGATGTGAAGAAGGAGGGAGGCAGCCCAGGGACACACGGCGTGGTCTCACCCCTGGCCTGTTGGACACCAAAGCCTTGTCCAATGAGAGGCGGCCACTGAAGAGAACGAGGCTCCCAGCACAGCCTGCATCTGTCTCCCCGCTGCTCCTCTCAAGCAGCGGCCTCACGCCTTCTGCACCCTGTGCCCGCAGCATCTTCCTCATCGACCATGCGTGGACGTACCGTGTGGAGCACGCCCGCCAACAGCTGCAACAGACACCTGGCCTGTTGCACCGCATGGCCAACCTGATGGGCATCGAGTTCCACGGTGAGGTGCCCAGCACAGAGGCTGTGGACCTGGCACTCGGGGAAATGTGGACGTTCAACCAGACCTACCGGCTGGCCCAGGGGGTGAGCAGGCAGCGGGTCCTGGGCTCAGGGTGGGGTGGTTCCATGTGGGACTGCCTCATTACCTGGGACCCTCTTACAACGTTACCTCTGCCCTGAGCTGGCTGGTGTCGAGCACCCCAAAAATAGATGCCACCCATCCCAAGTCCATAAACACCACCCCTCAGACCCCTAAAGTCCGGCCCTTCCCCGGCCCCTCTAGCCTGGGTGTGGCTCAGTTCCATCAGCCTTAGTCAAAGCCTTCAGTGGTTCCTGGAACCCACCCCTCTGTGCCCCTGCCCCTCAGGACTTTTCGTTAAGAAACATCCAGTGTGTGTTTCTTGTACTCATAACATAGGTGTGCCCTTCCCTCCAGGAAGCCTGCCCTGACTGCCAGTCCTCCCCACCCCCCGCCCCCTGTGCGTTTCCTGTCACTGCAGGGTTCGCTGCCCTGCTCCCCTCCTACCCAGTGTCCACACTGCAGCACACTGGCCCCCTGACCTGTCCACAGGGGCAGGGCTGTGTTCTAGGGAAGTATGTGGGGTAGGTGATGACATCAAAGCTCAGAGCAGCAGGCCTAGGTGGGTGCAAAGACAGGTGGATGACGTGACTGGGTACCCCACCCACAGACGGCTGAGGAGAAGGTGCCAGTGTGGTACATCATGGATGAGTTTGGCTCACGGATCCAGCACTCAGACACACCCAGCTTTGCCACGGCCCCGTTCTTCTACATGCCCCAGCAGGTGGCCTACACGTTGCTGTGGCCCCTGAGGGACCTGGACACAGGCGGTGAGCTGGACCCCACCCCCACCCCTACCCAGGACAGGCCCAGACCTGGGCCCAGGCCCAGTCTCCGCCCACCACCCTAACAGGCTTGTCTTGGCACAGAGGAGGTGACCCGGGACTTTGCCTATGGAGAGACAGATCCCCTGATCCGGAAGTGCATGCTGCTGCCCTGGGTGCCCGCCAACATGCTGGACATTAGTTCCTCCACACCCGAGCCGCCAGAGGAGTACTACAAGGTATGGCGTCCCCCTGACCCAGCCCATATGCTCCGGCAGTTTCTAGAATGTTCTCTGTCCCATCAACCAGCATTGACTATCACAGGAAGTGGAGGGAGGTTTGGGGAGCATTTGAAGGGTGAGGAACTCAGTGGAAAACAGCCACCTATGGTCCTACGACTTGGGTATGGGCCACACCTTACCCCAGTGGCCTGTTGTTGGGCCTCCCCCTTTCAGAGTTGAGTCTCCCTCAGTCCCCACATATCAGGCCCGTTTCCTCCTCTCAGGACAGCTGCCAGGCAGGGGGTGTTGAGACGCTGTGTTCTAACACCCCTCGGGGTACAGTCAGCTCTCAACAAGCCATCATTAGAATTATCCCTGTCATTAATAACAGGGACTTTCGGTCCAGTGACCTAGCATGTGGGGATAGGCAGGGTGAAGGGGGTTAGCAAGAAGCCAGCAAGGCTGGGTAAACCCAAACAGAAGAGGAGCTAGAATTATGGGGTGCAGCCACTGCCAGAACCAGGCAAAACTAGGCAGGTGGGCAAACAGCTGAGCCCCTGGCTTCTTTGGCACTTGGGCCCCCTAGGCAGGCCTACCCAGAAGTCAGCAGCCAGCAGCCTGTTTGTATCTTCCTCATACTGGTGAGGAAACTGAGGCACAGAGGGCCTGGTGCAGGCTGCTCCTCTGAGTGCTGTTGACTGGGAGGGGCCTTTGCCACGACTGGTGGCCCTTTTTCCTGTGAATTTCAGTCAGTGGCAGTTGAACCATGTTGAAGAACATCGCTGTAGTTGTTTTGGGCCCTCGTCGCACTCCCTCACAGATAGCTGCTTAGTGTAAGTTTAGATGAATGAGTGAGTCTTTGGGGGGAGAGGTTTTAAGAATCGCTTGGGACAAACACTCCTTAGTCTTGAGTTTGCTTTTTAATGGATCGTAAATTGAAATTGGTCTTTTTCTCTTGGGAAATGCTTAAGTAGTCAGGTGGAAAATGACTCCAGTTTGTAACAGCTTAAAACAGCAACGTTTATCCTCTGAGTTTCTGTGGTTCAGGAGTTCGGGAGTTGGCTCAGTTGGAAGGGTGTGGCCCAGGGTCTCACGAGGCTTGGCCGGGACTGCCATCCGCTGGCTTGTGGCTGACTGGAGGAGCTGCTTCCTTGGTGGCTTGCTCACACGCCTGGCTCCTCGCCAGCTGTCCCCTCCACAGCATGGCTTCTCCTCGAGGACATGATCTGAGAGAGAGCAGCGGGAAGGCCACCATGTCTTGTGTGGCCTAGTCCCGGCAGTTGTTTCTCTTCATTAGCCTCAGAGCACTGAATACAGCCCACACTCACAAAGTACAGCTCCACCTTTGAAGGGATGGTCACAGAGTTGGTGGACCTGTTTTAAATCACCACATAGCTCAAGTCTGGACCAGCCCTTAGAGCCCTTCTCTCAGAAAGACAAACCTGGGATGGGTCTGGGGACAGAGTGAGAGGGTTCAGAGCAGTGTTTCCCTTGTTTTTTTGACACAAAAATGGAGTATTCAGCATTCCAGAGACCTTGAGCCCCAAGATCCGTTGGTCAGAAGGCTGTTTCCTCACAAACACTGGGTTGTTTCTAGAAAACTCCTTCACAGTCTGTTGTTACCTGAGCGTGGCATGAAGCTCTAGGTACTGGCTGGTATACAGTCCAGAGCCCCGTGGTGGGTGGTCTCTGTGAGGGGTGCAGGGTCCACAGTGCTGGTGAGAGGTGTCCAGGAGGTTGCTGGGCAGGTGTGGGACACTCACCGTCCATCCTGCCTGCCTGATGGGAGAGGCATGTGCTCACATGCCCTTTTCCTGACGTCTGTCCACCCTGTCTCTAGGCTATTCTAGATGAGAACAAGGAGAGGCTGCCTCTGGCCATCAGCATACCAACCTACCCTCAGGACCACGTCTTCAAGTAAGTGCCCAGCTGGGACTGTCCCTTGGTCACTTTGCTCCCTCCAGGTGGTGTCCTCACAGAGGATCAGGCATCTGCTCTCCTCCTGAGGTGTCAGGGTAGGGTTGTAGTGACCAGCCCCGGGGTCCAGCTCTGGGATCGCAGATAGAGAGAACCCGGGAAATCCCAGAATCATAGGTCCAGCCATGGAGACACTGTGACCAGCAGGGGGAGCTCAGGGTCCACCCCACACAGGCCTTACTCCAGCCCCTGTCCTTGGAGTAGGAGGAATTGTGATCCTGGGACTGTCTGCTCCCTGGGACCCCAAGGGTCTGTCCGGTCCTGGCCACAGTGTGCCGCAATCCTGGATTCTGTGCCCCAGGCAACCCTAGCCACCCAAGGCCCTTCCTGGCATCTGCAGGTGTGGCTTGTAGGTGCCATGAGAGCAGGTGGCTGCCTTGAGGCCCACCCCACCCAGAAACAGGGGCAGCAGCCTCCTTGGGACCCTGGCTGATTCCCATAGATGAGGGTGCAGAGGTACAGTAAGGGGAACTGGGCTAGGAGGCCAGAGCAGAGACCAGCCTGGGAGCCCACCAGAGGACGGGTGGGAACCACCACCCTCCAGTCCACTTGGCGCTGGCCCATCCCAACTGTGCCTCCGGAGCAGCTGAGCACAGGGTCTTCCTAGGGTCTACTCCGACGTGCAGCAGGTGCATGACCACTTGACCCACCCGAGGTTCACCTTCACCTCGAGCGAGGCAGAAGCCGACATCCTCTACAGCTTCTCCCACTTTAAGGACTACCGGTGAGGCCCTGCCCGCCCAAAGCCCTCACCCCTGCCCACGCAGGGCCCGTGGCACCCCACCCACTGAACCCCTCACTCCGCTTGGCCCACAGGAGGCTCAGCGAGGAGCGGCCTCAGGTGCTGGTGAACCAGTTTCCCTGCGAAAACCTGCTGACGGTCAAGGACTGCCTGGCCTCCATCGCCCGCCGGGTGGGGGGCCCCGAGGGTCCGCCCTGGCTGCCCCGCACCTTCAACCTGCGCACCGAGCTGCCCCAGTTTGTCAGCTACTTCCAGCAGCGGGAGGGGCGGTGAGTGCCCCCGGAGCCGCGGACCCTGCAGCTCCTGCCCACCCCCCACACTCAGAGAGCCTCTGGGCCATCTGGCTGGTCCTTGCCGGACGCCAGCTCCTTTGCTCACAAACACTCAGTTCCTGGGGCCCTTGGAGAGGTTGGGTGCTCTGTGCTCAGCTCACTGTCTCCCCTCCAGGGGTGAGGACAATCACTGGATCTGTAAGCCCTGGAACCTGGCCCGCAGCCTGGACACCCACATCACAAAGGACCTCCGCAGCATCATCCGGCAACGCGAGAGCGTCCCCAAGGTGGGCCATGCAACTCCACAACCAGGGTCAGGTGCAGGTGTGGGAGGAAGGCAGGGTCACTGGGCCCTGCCCCAGACTCCCCTGCCCACACGCCTTCTACTTTAGGTAGGGGCAGACCAGGGGGGAAACCCAGTAACAGGAGGCCCCCCAAATGGAGTCAGCCGGGGTGAGAGTACCCACCGTGTCTGAAAGCATTTTGCTGCTCTGTGCTGCTCACCTGTCCTTCCCTCCGTCCTGCTGGGCTCCAGGCTCTGCGGGACCTCCAACACTGCCGTCTTATTGCTGAGAAGAGGGGCACCCTTGCTCCTGCACCCCAGAACACTGGTGCCCTCCCCAACAGGTCCCCTGACCTCTGTCCCTGAGGAGTCCGTATGGCCAGGGCAGAGCCTCCATATGGTGGTACGAAGGGGGTTGTGTAGGACACATAGGTACACAGTGGGACCAGCTGCCCCAAAGTGACCTCCTACTCATGACAGCACCACGTGTGTCAGAGTAGAGCTGTGCCCTGTAGGGGTTCACTGGATGATTTTTCAGAATTGTTGTTGTTAAGTACCGTGGTGTCGGGTCCGACTCATAGCGACCCTGCACAGGGTTTCCGAGGCTGTAAATCTTTACGGGAGCAGAAAGCCTCATCTTTCTCCTGCGGAACAGCTGGTAGTTTCGAACTGCTGACCTTAGGTTCACAGCCTGATTCATAACCACTACGCTACCAGAGTTAGATTACAACAAAATGACCTAGCACAGTGAGAAATGGACGTGGGCAAGATGCTGGAAGGAATTAAGTGATACACACATTCGGGAAGTCAGGCTGGGAGCAGCAGGCACACTGGGTGAGGATCTGTGTTGGGTTTGCTTTTCTTAACCTTTTAAAATTCCCATTGTTTTACCCGCCTTTACTTTATTTCCTTAAAGCACTTTTATTTACGTTTCCAGGAAAATCGTGCCAACATCAGAGTTCCCAAGTCCCGTGCCCCCTGCTCCCCCCTCGTTGTTCACCGACTGTTTTCCCTAGTAACACCCCGTATTTACTTTTTCAGAACAAAAAGCGGGGTGCTTTTTTGTTGTTGTTGCCTGCAGTTAGAATAGGAGCCCTGGGAGTGAAGCAGCTAAATGCTTGGCTGCAAACCAAAAGGTCAGCAGTTCGAACCCACCAGTCACTCCACAGGAGAGAAATATGGTGGTCGGGCTTCTCGAGCAGTGACAGCATTGGAAACCCCGTGGGGCTTTCGTACCCACAGGGTAGATACAAGTCAGAATCAATTACATGGCAGTGGGTTTGGTTTTGGCTTGTGGTTTGCAGTTAAAGATCCGTATAGAGACTCCAGCACACACAAGGCTGGAGAAGCAGAAGGAAAGTGCAGCGTGGTCAGGCCCCTGCAGGTGCCGGCACAAACTCCTCATGGGCACGGAGGCCAGGGGCCCTGCCTGGGGGAGTGGACAAGGGTGCTCCGTTCTCCGCAGTGAGACTGCAGCCCGGCGGGACGGAGCCCCCAGAGAGTGAGCCGCGTCTGTCCCCCCAGGTGGTGTCCAAGTACATCGAGAGCCCCGTCCTATTCCATCGCGAGGACGTGGGGTTGGTGAAGTTCGATGTCCGCTACGTTGTGCTGCTGCGCTCGGTGCTGCCTCTGCGGCTGCTTGTCTACGACGTCTTCTGGCTGCGCTTCTCCAACCGGTAAGTGCCCACGAGGCTGGCAGCTCACTGAGTCACCAGCTGAGCTGGTTCCACTCCGGCCTGGCCCACCTCACCCAGGTGGTGGACAGACCTATTCTCTAAAACAGACGTCCACCTAGGAAGGTACGCCAGGGCTCGCTCACCTGCCAAACAAGAGCAAGGAGACCGGCCGGTGTGGGTTGGGAACCCAAATCTGTGAGCCCTCCCCGCGGCCCAGGTGCCACACGGGACCCACACGCCTGCTCTGTCTGCTTGTGTACAGGCCCTTCGCGCTCAATGACCTGGACGACTATGAGAAGCATTTCACCGTCATGAACTATGACCCTGAGGTGGCACTGAAGCAGGTGGGGGCCATGGGCAGGCTGGGCACTGCCACCCGGTTTCCCGTCAGGTTGGGTGGACAGTTGTTCTCGCATTGAAACAGCACAATGTCCCCCAAATAATCCTACCCACAGCAGGGTGGGGTGAGCGGTCTCCCCAAGTCAAGAACAGAGTGGGTCTCAGTTAGGGGTCAGACAGACGAGTCCCATGACCCCACAGGGCCTGTCATGGAAGGGACATCCTCTGGGGGAGTTGCATAGAGAAGAAACGGTAGCGTCCAGGTGGCGGTGCCGATGCCCATTCTCTCCAGCTGGGCACTAATAGAACTGCTTGTCAGTCCTGAGAGCCAGGGCTCGGGAGAGCAGGGGGCACACAGCCTGTGTGACTGAAGAGTGCATGCTGAGGGCTCTTCCATGATGTGAGCGTGATGTGTGTGCGGAGGGCTCCCTCCATGGTGTGTGTAGATGTGTGTGCATGGTGCTGAGGCCTCCCTCTGTGGTATGTGTGTGAGAAATGGGAACTGATTGCCCCTTACCCACATGCGTTGGCTACATTCTTGGCTCCGAGATCATCTTCTTGTCCCTCGGGCCTATTGGAGCTGGGCTGAGCAGCGAGTTCTGATAAAGGCTCTGTCCGGACCTTCCAAGCCCTGTCATGCCCTGTCTCCCTCAGTTTGCTGGACATGAAGCAGGAGTCCCATATGACAGGTGGGGAAACAAACTAGTCGGCTTGTCCAGGTCACATAGCTAAGCTCCAGAGTCAAACCTGATCTCGGGCCTCTCATTAATGCCCTGAAGGGAGTGTATTCCCTGATCTGCTGGCCTCCTATGACCCCGCCCCAGTGTTACAGGCAGGGGACAGGCTCCCCCACATCCCTTCCACACCCCCACTGTGGGCCTGACCCTGCCTGGAGGCGGCCAACAATGATGGCCCATGTCTGCCTCAGGTACATTATGACGAGTTCATCCCAGAGTTCGAGAAGCAGTATCCGGAGTTCCCCTGGAAGGATGTCCAGGTGTGCAGTCCCTGCGGTGGGGTGGGTGGCTGGGGGTCACAGGCTGGTGAAGGGGGCCCACGTGCACCAGCAGCCCTGGAGAGGACCTCCGGAGGAGGTGATCGGGCCAGCAGGGCACACTCAGGACTGGTAGGGAATTGTGTGTGAGGGGACAGCAAGAATGCAGCCTGTGAGCTGAGAGTCCTTCATGCATGGGGGTGGGGGCACAGGGCACTGAGTCGGGAGACCCTGAAGATTTGCCGGGGACCCCCATTATGGAGTGGAACTTCCACAGACAGACCTGGAGACAAGAGGGTGTAGAAGGGATAGCCTGGGGACCTGGGCTCGGGCAGGGGCTGAGAACTGCTCAGGGGCTCGTCCTGCCCCACAGACCCCTGACTCTGCGCCCCGGCCCCCAGGCTGACATCTTCCAGGCCTTCAAGGAGCTGTTTGAAGCAGCATGTGCGAAGCCCGCACCCCAGGGCCTTTGGCCATACCCCTCATCACGGGCTCTCTACGCCGTCGACCTCATGCTGAAGTGGGAGGAGCACCCCAATGGTGAGGGGGCTGGGGTCTCCTGTCCTGTGATCCAAACCCCGCACCCACAGTAAACACTGGGGGAGGAGAGTCCGGGGTGGGTCAGCCAGCTGCGAGAGCAGGTGTTCCAGTCTCTGGGCCCCAAACGAGCATTTCGGCATGTGTGCATCATGTTCACGCTATTCCCGGGGCCAGAACCCAACCTCTTACTTTGGGTTCTGCAAAGAGCAGCCTCAGCCAGGCCTCCCAACTCTGAAATGTCAGGAGACCCAGGTCCTGCCCTGCTGCCACCAGCAGCTGTGGGGCTTGCCACCAACCCCCAACTCACCCCGCACTCACTTTGCCCCTCAGGAAAGCGGATCATGCAGCCCCAGATCCTGGAGGTGAATTTCAACCCCGACTGTGAGCGCGCCTGCAAGTACCACCCAACCTTCTTCAATGACATCTTCAGCACCTTGTTTCTGGACGAGCCCAGTGGCTGCCACGTCACCTTCCTTCTCTAGGTGTTCCTGGGCCCCCTCTGGCCTGAGCTGGCCCCCTGGGCGCACAGGCCTCTGCCTTTGCAGGATCTCTGGGGAATCGCTTCCCCTCCCACCACCCTGCAACAACTCGCCCCCAGCTCAGCCTGGAGAGCTCGGCAACCTTCCAGAAGTTTCTAGGGGGTGTTAGCGAAACGGGGTCCCCCATGGGTCTTGAGGCAGCTCCCTCAGCACCAAGGTGGGAACCAGCAGAAATGCATCCAGGCTGCCTACCTCCCCCGCAAGAGTCTGCCCTCCTGCAGGGCTCGCTGGAGCTCCCTGGGGAAACGCTGCTTGCCAGACCTGTCCTGCCCAGCCTAGCCAGACCAGGACCTTCACCAGCACACCTGACAATGCAAGCAAGGAGCCCCTGTCCTTAGTCATTGCTCCTGGCTCACAGACACAATGCGGTCTAGCCACTTGGTCCCCCTGTGCTGGGCACACCAGGGCCGCCTTCTCATCACAGGGCCACTGGGATGCCCATGCCAGCATCCACAGATAATGATGACAGATGGCCAGCACCACCAGACTCGGGTCAGGATGTTGGACTTCTGTTCATGTATGGCAGGAAAATATAAAAATTCTAGTTCTTTAATGTTTTCCTGCGATTGAGATGCCAGCATTGTCTCAGGAGCAGCGGTGCCCTGGGCCCAGCTGGCTAACAGGTCCGAGAAGCGAAGCTGCTGGGGAATGTGGCTCCCCGTGCCCTGGCTGGCCACAGACCATGTCCACGTGTGGTCGGTGGGTTGGCTGTGGTGGTCCTCCTGGTAGCAAAACTGGAGTCGATCTGCCGCCATCTCCGCTGGGTGCTCTGTCCGTGCTCATTAGCAGGGACCCCACGGAATGGAGGTGTCTCTGCAGCTGCCGGGACCTCGCCCTTGGAGTTGTAGTCCAACACCCCAGAGGCCAGGACCTCCCACCTCTCCTCCTGGGGCAGCTGTGACCTCCCACCCTCATCAACTTGACTTGTACTACAATAAAAGATATCTTCTTTTACAAGTGCCCATGTTTCTCTTTGGGGGTCCTGGAACCACAGGCTTCACATTATTAGTACAGATCCATACTTGGAGAAATAGGACATTAGGCAGTGGAGTCCCCCGCCCTGTGAGGTGTCAACAGCAGGTTGGTCTCAGAGGGAATGTCATAGCGTTACCTAGAGGAGGAAAACCAGTGAGGCAATTCTAGGAGGGGGCTTCAAAAAGTTCATAGAAAACTGGAGTCAAGAAACTATGGCATTTTTCCATGAACTTTTTGTTTTTTTAATGTTTTCTTGTGAGTTATGTGATCATTTACATGGGAGCACATTAGTTTTACATTCATCCTGTTGTATATCATATCATTGCCATGGTTACAATCCCCTCCATGCATCATCAGCCAACCAAAGGGTATACACTGCAAGCCTGTCCCCCGGTCAGCACACAGCCCCTCTCCTCTCTGGGTCGAAAGTCCCCAGCTGCTCCATCTCTCCACGTTGCCATCTCTGCCTCTATCTCTGGTGTCACTGCTTCTCTGGGTAGGGTCCCGCACTCCGCTCTTCTCCCTTGATGGTCCCAGGGACCTTTGCTCCTAGACTGCAAAGTTAATCAAGTCCCTTCTTGCTACAAAACATCTACCTTTACAATTCCAACACTCACAATCAGTCCTGATAACAATTATTCACTATTGTATCACAAGAGACCTATCCACATCTCCTTTCATCAGCCCCGCCTAGACAGATTGGATACTACTCAGTGGAGATTCTACCTTCTCCACACCCTCTGCATCTAGGTTCCCTCTTGAAAGTTTGTAAGCCAGTCACTTCTTGCCTTTGTAGCTCCCCACTTTGGGTAGCCAATGTCCAAGTTGCCCATCCCTGTCTACTCTGTGTATGGAGGGGGTGGGAATGATCTTCGCTGTAAAGATTTGTTCCCTCTTTTGAGCTACTGCATCCATAGGTATAGCTCAAGTTCATCAAATTGTATCAGATTACTCTTTTTTTCCTCTTCTTCTAGTTGAGCTCTGATCATCCAGTCATTGAAGCCAGGTCAAGTGGGTATTATCTGCAAGTGTGGGTGTTCTTATGCATATGCCCTCTCTTCTTATCAGCTGGATGCTTCACTCTCCACTCTAGTCCTCTGTGTCTATGTCACTGATTCTGGGCCCAAGAGTCCCCAGGTCTTGCCACACTACTGGCCAACCAAGTCTCTCTAGCTGGGTTCACAGGCGTCTATTGAACGTTGTAGGGCTTAGCTCACAGCTTCATTGCTGTTTTTCCCTCACTTCCCCTTATCGGTGACGAACGTGGTCACCAATCAGAGCGTGTATTCCCATTGAGTCTTAGTCTTGGAAGGGGGTTTGCTCTGAGGGAACCTGACCACTTGCCTTGATGTCTCCTGGGCGAGCAACTTGCTTATTCTTGTAGTAATCAGTCGGACTGCCTATATTGTTTAGTGTTTTTCCTGTCGGTCTTTCAAGAACCATGAACGTTTTGAAATCCCCTCTTAATATATACAGTACGTAAGCATCCCAACCCTACTGCCCATTGAGACAGTTGTGACTACATAGTAAACCTATGTTGGGGCTCTAATCGTAAGCGCAGAAAGTCTCACCTTTCTCCTGCAGAGTAACTGGTGGGTTTGAACTGCTGACCTTGTGGTTAGCATCCCAATGCGTACCTGACTATGCCACCGGGACGCCTTTGATGAGGGTTAGAAATCAGCCTTGACTTGGATTCAAACCAAGGTTGCTGCAGCCACAACACAGCATATTGTACAATGACCACGTGCCATTTAGTACCCTTCAGTGCCTTCAAGTCAGTTCCAACTCAGCAACCGTGGTGTATTGCGTTTCCAAGGAGCAGCTGGTGGATCTGAACCGCCAATCTTGTGATGAGCATTCCAGTGCTTACCCCACAGAGCCACACCAGGACTCCTGGATAGAATATAGATTTACTTTGAAGAAATGGCTCATTTAATCATGGTGACTAAGAAACCCCAAAGGAGCTCTGGTAGCGTAGTGGTTACGAATCGGGCTGCGAACCGGAAGGTCAGGAGTTCGAAACTACCAGCCGCTCCGCGAGAGAAAGATGAGGCGTTCTGCTCCCGTAAAGATTTACAGCCTCGGAAACCCTATTCAGGGTCGCTATGGGTCGAAACCGACTTGACGGCACTTAACAACAAGAAACCCCAAATCCGTGGGTCAAGCTGAAAGCCTCTCAGTGGTTGCAAAACTGATGAACCTGGAACCCAAAGGCAGGCGGTCAGATGCAGACTTCTGGCGTGTCTCCCAAGAACCGGAGATGACAGATAAACTGAGTTGGATCAAGAGAGTGAGTTTCGTCAGAATATCCGGATCTGTTGTATACAGACCCCACAGTGCAAGGAAACACCCCTTTCAAGTGATTGGCTTGTGAGTAGCCAATCACAAAGTGGAAGATGATTGTATAATATCTTCCCAACCATAGGAACTCTGGTAGCGTAGTGTGGTTACGCATGGGGCTGCTAAGCTCGCCAGTTCGAAACTACCCGCTGTTCCGCGGGAGAAAAATTAAGCTTTCCGCTCCCGTAAAGATTTACAGCCTCGGAAATCCTATGCAGAATCGCTATGACTTGGAACCAACTCGACGGCACATAACAACAACAAATAGAGAATCATGATCCAGTCTTACAAAACCCTTACAGTGGGAAGGGGTGGGGCTGAGGCTTTGCCACCCCCAAAGTCCCAGAGTTTCAGGTGGGTTGTGGTCCCAACAACTGGTTGGAAACTGGGTGGTCTCTGCCTGACCCTCTACCGGGTGGGTGGAGGTAGTAAATTGCCGATGGTAGTGAGCTGCCGCTGGCAAGTGTCAGCCAGGAGGAGCAGGGGAATAGTGAAGCCAGTTGGTATCGGGATGAATAAATGAGAGCAGAGCCCCCATTTTGTGGCTGGGGCAATGGTACACAGACCACCTACAGCTTGCTGGAGCAATTCAGGGGTGCTCTTAGGACAGACATTCCCTACCAGGATCTGCTCAAAAGTACAACATGGTCAGTGCTGGCAGCGCCATTCAGTTCTCTTGTAGAACTACATAGACGGTCTGCGCAAACACGCGAAGCCACTGGGATCCACCACCTAGCCAGTCCCTGCTCTAGCTTCCCTGCATCACCCACAGGAGCCCAGGCCAAGCCTGAAAGACTGAACAAAGGCTGAAGAAGGTGCAGGGACCTGTGTCTGTCCACTGGCTATCCCTTCCTGGTACACATTCCCACTCTGGTCACTTCCTGTTTCAAGATTCCATCAGAAGATAGATTTCTTGATGCTGGACATTTGGAATGGAGCCGAGAATTCCAGTGGTAGTAACTTACCAAGGTTCTACAAGGTGAGACAGGAGAGTCCAGATGGATTCTGTAATAAGAACAAAAGGAGCCCCAGTGGCTTTGTAGGATAAGCACTGGACTGCTAACCACAAGGTCAGCTGGTCAAACTCACCAGCCATTCTTCAAGAGAAAGATGAGGCTTTCTGCTCCTGTAAAGATTTATAGCCTTGGAAACCCTATACAGGGTCACTAGGAGTCAGAACCAACACAGTGCCAGGGGAGTTGGGTTTTGGTAGTGGAAAAGGAGTTTTAGTGGTGCTGGGAGTTAGTCACTGGGCTGTGAACTACAAGGTTGATAATTCAAATCCACACCATTCACTCCATGGAAGAAAAATGCAGCTGTCTGCTGCTCTCAAGATTCACAGTCTCAGAAATCCTATACAAGGTGGCTAAAGGAGCTCTGGTAGCGTAGTGGTTACGAATCGGGCTGCAAACCTTAAGGTCAGCAGTTCGAAACTACCAGCCGCTCCGTGGAAGAAAGATGAGGCTTTCTACTCCCGTAAGGATTTACACCCTCGGAAACTCTGTACAGGGTCGCTATGGGTCGGAACCGACTCAACGGCACTTAACAACACAACAACAATGAGTCGGAACTGACTCAATGGCAGCAGTAGTCGTTATGTGCCATCACGTCGGTTCCAACCTGTATATGATTTTCATCTTTATGGGAGCAGAAACCCTCATCTTTTCATTTGTACAGCCATCACCTGTTTTGGAGTCAGGAGGATATAGGAGATGCTGGTGACAAACCCATGAGTTTGTGAAATGGACCAGTCAGGACAAGCACCTCTGAAATCCCAGACATTCCCGCAGGATTTCCATAAGCCCTAAGAACAAAGTACCTGGTACCACATGAGTAGCCATGCCCTGCAGGGACCAGGCCTGCTCGAAAAGCATTCTGGGGCAGGAGATGTCATGGGGTCTAAGCCAGTAGTGGTGACAACCGCTCTGCCACTGGGGCTCAGAGAAGCTTCTAAGGCACAAGGATCTCAAGAAACCTGGTTGCTAATCTCAAGGTCAGCCGTTCAAACACACTAGCTGTTCCGAAGGAGAAAGATGAAACTATCTGTTCCTTATAGATTTCAGTCTCAGGAACCTATATAAGGGTCGGAATCAAGTTGAAGCAATAGTAGTGAGTTTTGCTTTGTTTGTTTTGGTTTTGAAAACCTTAGCAAGTTGTCACCCAGCCAATGTTGCATGGTGTTCTCGCTGACACAGTTATTGTTTTTGTGTGTGTGTGTGGTTGTTTCATTGTGTTTATTGTGGCTTGGGTGCCAGTTTATGGAGGAAATTCGTTTTCCATTCAAGAATCCATACACATTGTGTTTCATAATATTGTGACTCCCTCGACACAACAGCACTTTCTCCACTTCCTCCTTGGGCTCCCTATGTCCGTTAGTTCTTCTCTGCCCCTTCCTGTCTTCTCAGCTTTGTTTCTGAGCAAACACTACCCTTTCAGATTTTTTTTAAAATAAATTGTTGGATATATAAATATCATTCACATACCGTACAATTCAGCCATTTCAAGTTGATGTTGGAAGTGCTGTTGAGTCAGTTCCAACTCAGATCAACCCTGTATAGGGTTTCCGATACACTGGCTTTTCTTATATTCCTAAGACTGTACACCATAACCACAATCAATTTTTTCATTTTCCCCTCAAAAGCAATCCCACACCCTTTGCTAGTTACTCACCACTTTACACAAAACCTGGCTGCTCTATAGGGTTTTCAAAGCCTGATTTTTCAGAAGGTGATTGCCAGAACATTCTTCCAAAGTGCCTCTGGATGCACTCGACCTCCCAGCTTTCAGATAGCAGCTGAGCATGTTAACGATTTGCATCACCTTGGGGCTCCTGGAAAGTCTTAGCAATAAATTTCATTTAAAGGATGCACACAGCATCCCCTTCCTGCTCTGATGGATAGCAGAGGTCCTCCAAGGGATCAGCTAGCTGCTCCTGAGTGGGGGAGGCAGGTGGTGAGCTGATGTCCTGCCCACCCCCACCCGCCACCGGAATACTCTAGACAACGCTGTCAGCCAGCTTTTCACCAAATGTGGGTGGGAGGAGAGGTGATGAGGTCTCTGTGTGTGGAGACAGGCCAATTTGAACAAATGTCTATGGACTGAAAAAAAGCAGAACCCACCCAGCAGGTTGGACCTGGAGATCTGGGGGGCCTGGTCCTAAGAGGATGCCCTATTGGACCCACCAGGACAGGATGGCAGTTAGGGGAAGGAAGAGCCATCACTCGGCAGTTGCCTGTGTCAGACACATAGTCTGCTCGTATTTCATCCAAACATCAGCCTGCGGATGTCATGGCCCACCTGACTGGAGACTAGGGGTTTCATTGAGTGGTCCGGCGAAGATCTGCTATCTGCCAAGCCAGGGGTTAGCGACACCCAGTCCTAACCACCTCTGACACCTCTGTCTCCCACCAGTTGGTGTTTGGGGGCTGCTCCTGGTGGGGAGAGGTTGGCATGGGTGAGGCCAGATAAGGGCTCTGCTTGGAGTCACCGTAGAGCCAGGCTGCCCCTTCTGGAAGTGTTGTGGAAACCGTGGTCATGAAGGGCACCTACATGGTCAATGCCCAGGGCCCTGCTGTTCCAGCCAGTGTTGGTCATGGGAGGGTCCCGGGAAGCCTGGGCTGGGCAGACCCTGCAGCCACTAGGCCCTCCAGTCCCCACCGCCGGGCCCCTCCCCCCAGGGAAAAAGACCACCATACAGTAGTTTAAAATTTATTTGGCTTTTATAAAACCCCACACTCCTCAAACACGCTCCTCTCAGGTGGTAAGCACAGGACGCTGCTCTGGAGTTCGTCCCTGGAGGGGGCTCGGCCTGAACTCCACGAGGCTGCTGGTGACTCAGATGGAGCAGAAATCCGTGGCCATGATGACCACCAGGGCGGCTCCTGACAGACAGCGACTGCAGCCCTCGGCCGGGCACCCTCATTCTGGGGGCCGCCGGCCACTACGCCGGCCAAGGTTGTCCCGCCATACGCAGTAGTTGAGCATGGCGGCGAAGGCCAGCCAGGCCAGGTACGGGTACATCAGGCGAGCAGCCGGCGGGCTCACCCGGTACCAGGCCACCGTGGTGGCAGCTGCCACCCCGCCTGTCAGCAGGAGGTCCACCAGGGCCTGCGGAGACACGGGCAGAGGGAAGGCCTTGAGGCTGGGGCACCAAGTCTGCACAGATGGGCTCCCAGCTGCCCAACCACTTGTATGGGAACCCCGACTCTGCCCTCCAGTGAACTGGCCAGGCCCGCATTCCATCCCAGTCTTAAAGGTCTCACGGCTCTTCGGTGAAATGGGAACAGCGCCCCCTGCCTGCTGTGATGTGTACGTGCGTACAGGAGACAGCCGCTGCTATACCCCAGTCACCTCCTCCTCTTCAGAGGGGTAACCCTGCTCTCCCTAATTACCTTGGGGCCTGAAACAAGATTGCCAGCGAGAGAAATCCCACCAAAAGGTGGCAGCGAATGGGCCACACCCCCTGTTCAGGAATTCCACGGGCTCAACAGAACCAAAAGGCAAACCCACTGGAGTCCAGTCAATTCTGACTCACAGCTAACCCTAACCCTAACCCCAACCCCAACCCTAACACTAACTCTCAACCCTAACCCAACCCTAACCCTAACCCTAACCCCAACCCTAGCCCTAACCCAACCCTAACCCAAGAGGGTTTCTGCAGCTGTAAATCTTTACAGGAACAGACTGCCTCGTCTTTTAAAAGAGAAGCTGATATCTAACCAAGAGAGCTAGCCCCCAGCCTACTGTCCAGCATCTCCCTGTGCACAGAGCCCCTAAACCCAAGCACAGGAGCCCTGGGGCAAAGTGGGTTAGGCTCTCAGCTGCTAACTAAACAGTCTGATTGGAACCCACCAAGCACTCTGAGAAGAGGACACGGTAGTTTGCCCCTTGAAAGACTTGCAGTCTTGGCAACCCTCGGGGGGCGCCCCACTGTGTCCTGTAGGGTTGCTGAGTGGGAATTCACTTAATGACAGTGGGGTTGGTTTGTGTTTGGTTTAAAACCCAAGCAGCTGAATCAGCCGTAGCCAGAGCCCTGAGGACACGCGACTGAGGGCTGCTCCAGGACATCGATCTCTACAAGTTTCTAGAGCCGAGTGCCACTCTGACCCCATCTGACATGTGATGTTTCCACACACCCCAAAAGACAGGGGTCCAGGAAACAAGCAAAGGTCACACTTACCCAGCCCATATAGCGGGCGCCAAAGAAGATGGGGGGCCAGGCCCAGTTCAGAGCCAGCTGCCCAGCGTAGAGACCCATGGGAACCATGGCTTCCTCCGAGAAGCCCCCCAGCTCTTTCCAGACCATGTAGGAGCCATACCTGCAAGAAAGCTGCTGTCAGAGCACCTGTGGGGAAGAGACCAGGAGCCCCTGGTCCACAACGGATCATACAGTGAGGGCTCAGGCATGCCCTTGACCTCGGGGACCCAGTAATCCTGTTCAGACACTGACGGCTGTGTGACCTTAGGGAAGTTGCTTGACCTCTCTGGTTCACGTCACCAAACTGCTGTGGGGGTTTAGTTAACACATCTGCTGTGTTTAGGGTGGTGCCTGGTACAGGATTAGCATCATCAGTGCTGTGATGGGGGGCCACACAAAGAGGAGGCTCCTAAAGTAGCCAAGGGTGCTGGACAGAGGATGGGACATTTGGGCTGGGCACTGAGGCATGAGCAGAAGTTTTCCAGGGGGACGGAACAGAACAGTACGAAGGTTTAGAGGCAGGTACATGAACCTGAGTCAGTCTATATAAGGTCTGGAAGACTGAGGAAGGGGGATCTGGAGAGATGGGTGAAGGAGGGCCTGCTCATGGGGGGTGGGAGGGTCTTCTCACCACGAGAGCAATGCCACCACCAGTAATAAGGGCTAGTGTCCTGCAGTTCTGATGTGCGCACGGCACTGCCTCTGCAATTTCTATACAGCCACTCCAGCCTCATGAGAATGCTATGAGGTGGCCAGTCTGTCACCCCATTTCACAGGGACGGAAGTTGAGGTCTCAGGATTTAAACCCAGGTGGCCTGGGTCCCGAACCCAGCTCTTCAGGAAGCCCTCGGGGCATGCTTGGTGTTCGATTTGTGCTTCATCAAAATCTTGACGTGGAAGGTGTATGTATGTAGGGGAAGAGGTGCCTGGGGGCTGGAGCAGGTAGAGATAGACAGGATCCTCCAGGCTGGAGGTCTCGGAAGCCCCACTGGCCAGGACCTGGGGGCCAGCAGGGGTGGGGATGGGGCCCAGGTATCCCCCAGATTGAAGAGATCTGGTTTAAATTCCATCAGGGCCCCCAGTGGCCAGCCTGGCCACTGCTACCTGGTCTGGGACACTCACAGTCCTGCCCTGCAATAGGCTGGCAGTCTGCACATGGTAACATTGCAGACTGACCTCATCTCATGGGCGCAGTCCCTGCAGGAGCCACCAGGGGGTGCCCTTCCCAGTTTGCACTTCCTCTTGCATCACAATCCCAGTGAGCCTTTGAGGCCAGAAAAGGGAAGCCATACACATCCCTCCTGTATAAATAGAGGTTGTGAGGGTGAGCTCGGATGAAGCCAGTTGCCCTGGAGTTGGCTCTGAATGAATGTCAGAGGAGAACTGCGCTCCACTGGGTTTTCGGTGGAAATAGTTGGCCAGGCCTTTCTTCCTAGTCTATCTTAGTCCGGAAACTCCATTGAAACCTGTTCAGTATTGTAGCAATGCAAAAACGTCCAGGGACAAACAATGGCTGCATTTGAGGTGCATACGTTAGGAACTGAACCCGAGTCTCCCATGTGGAAGGTAAGAATTCTACCATAGACAGCACTCCCTCGTAGCCCCTCAAGTGTCAGAATAGAACTGTCTTCTCCATAGGGTTCCCAGAAGCTGACTCTTTGAAAGTAGTAGCTTGCCAGGCCTTTATTCCAAACCACTTCTGGGTTTGGAATAAAGCATGTTAACCACGGATGCATGTTGCTATGACCGCTGTCACGGCTGTTATTTATTTAAACTGTCACCAGAGACCTCCACACTGCTAACCACAGTGGTAAGACACTGGTCTGAACTTGACACACAGACGCTGGCTGAGTCTGGAATTGCGAAAACAGCCGGGATATCAATGTGGGCTTAAGGAAAAGAAAGTTGAGTTGTGTAACCAGTAGGCCCTAGTTTTCGTCCTGGTGGCTGCCAAACCAGGCTGGGAAAATGACAGTTCTAGGGTTGCCTGACAATGAACACCCCAGGTTCACAACAGCTGCCCCATCACTCACCCCATGGCTGAGTAGAGTGTGCCCCAGATGGGGCCAAGCGTCCAGCGGGGCGGGTGCCAGGAGGGCTTCTGCAAACTGGCATACCAGCTGAGACTCTCTCCGCGAACGAACTGGGTGCTCAGGAAGCCCCCTAGACTGGGCACCAGTGTGAAGCCCACAGCGGGCACCCAGGGTGGGGCCATGGTACCTTCAGTTGCTGCTGTGGAAAGTTCTGAAAGAGAAGACAGGGCTTCGGTGAACGACGAAGTTGCCCCAGAGCAGGCCTGCTGTGGTTGGACCCCAAGGGCAGCCCATGGGCTCCTTCAGCATCGCTGCAGGTCCCGGGGCAGGTCTGCTACCGGAGAAAGTGCACTGATAGTTTGCTCTACGAATGGGAAGCAGGGCTGGACTGGAGCCACAACCCAGAGACCAGCCATCCTTACCCAAGGGCTCAAGTGAGCACTCTCCCATCTGGAGGCTGCCGGGCACAACCTAGAACCTCGGGGGTCCTTCTCAATGGAGCTCTATGTCAGCTCCTGACCCAGCTAAAAGGGTCCTGCACCCTCCCATCCACGCCCATGACCATAACCTGGGTCTCCTGGCAAGAGAGTTCCACCTCTCTGCCACTGAGGTCCCCCTTCACCATGAAACTTCTCCAGGCCAAGGGTCAGTCCCTAGGGCTTGTATGAGCTTCTGCCTGGATGGCCCAGTTTGCACTGTGCTTTATCCCTGTCTCTCTCTAATGGCCTCTTAACCAATGATCAAGATAAAGATAGATCAATATGGTGAACCTCACGACCACTGGCTCACAGAGACCAACCACACTTACATTGCTACTTCAAATGCATAACCCCAGTCAGTCATGGGTAAAGCCCAGACAAGCCCACACTCAGGAACATTCTCCAAAGCAACGAAAGCGGACTCCAGCAGTCTTCAAAAGGGAAATCGGAGGGGGCCGTCCCAGACTACAGGAGATTCAAGAAAAACAGCCTCCGACCTCAACAGTGTGGGGTCCTTGGTGGAATGCTGGACCAGACTGAGAACACGAGTAGAAAGATTGAGTGAAATTCCAGTGAGGTCTGGTATTCCATCTTACTTTTCTGGTTTTGTCTTTATACTACAACAGGAAGTTGCAAAGGGCAACTTGGGAACTCTCCGTACCAATTTTATAAACTTTTCTGTAAGTCCAAACTTCTTTCAAAATGAAACGTGTTTTAAAAGTCTGGACAATAAATTGCATGGTGCCCCAACTGCCATGGAGTCAACTCCAACTCAGGAAGACCCCCTGTGCCTCAGAGTAGAACTGTGCTTCACAGCATTTTCAATGGCTGACTTTTTTGGAAGTAGATCACCAAACCTTCCTTCCTAACTGGATCTGGGTGGATTCAAACAGACAACCTTTCAGTGAACAGCCAAGCATGTGTTCCCTCCTAAGTCTCCCGAGGTCCCTTGACACCCTCCCTAGGCTCCACCCACTATAAAAACCCATTGTCCTAGAGTTGGTTTCAACTTATGGAGAGCCCGTGTGTTACAGAAGAGAATTGCGCTTCACTGGGTTTTCTGTAATCTTTACGGCAAAACCATCACCAGGCTTTTCTTCCACTGGGTGGGTTCAAACTACCAAACATACAGTTAGCCGTCAAGAACAAACCCTGTACACTACTCAGAGACCCACCTCCCACAAAGGCCCCTCTGAACTTCCCTTACCCCACATCACTCCTGCTCTGAGATCTTCCATGACTCCCATCGTTTGGGGGCAGGGGTGCTAGTTCATTCTGCCACAGCACCCAGTTGGGGCCAGGCACACAGTTGGGGTTCAGGAGACCTTAAAGAGGACTGGCCCGGTCTCCAGGTGACAGGCAGAGAGCTCTTTACCACAGTCCCATTTGCAGAACAAAACAAGGGCCTTAAAGAGTGGTAGACTCCCCACAGCCAGAGCCCCCTGTTCCTGCCCACACCCCAGACTGCCCACTCAGCTGGCCTGGTCCCCCTGGGGCAGTGGGGTGAGACAACCCATGTGGCGAACATCCCCTAGACAGGAGTGTCCTCAGGACCCTGGAGTCCTCCCAGATTCTGACTCACCCGACTCAGGTACCAATCAGGGGCAGAACCCACCAAGCTGAGTCACTAGGAGAAATCCCATTTGGGATGGGGTCCATGGAAAGAAGGGGTTCTGGGCTCTGGGAGAGGGGACACTCACTGTCATCGAGTCAATTCTGAGTCCTAGAGACCCTACTGGCCAGAGTAGACAACTCCTTTGGGTCTCTGAGTATATTATATGAAAGCAGACAGCCTTCTCTTCCCATTGGAGTGGCTAGTGGGTTTGAACCTCTGACCTTGCAGTCAACAGATCAACACTTAACCCACTGTGCCACCATGGCTCCGTGTCAGAAGCCAAGTCCCCATCACCCCTGGACTTCTAGCTCCTTCAGAAACTGAATAAGAATCCAAGTTTCAAAGCTGCCTCCAGTTTGCTGGGCGATAACTTCTATGCCTATCGGAGCCTCAGTTTCCTCCTATGTCAGGTGAGCCTAATTTGACCCACCTGCTCGACAGAGTGGTAGGAAAGGCTGGGACACCAACACTTGTCTGAAAAACTCTAGACAGGTGCGGGGTGTGGGTATCAGTGTTGGAGGGCACTCGCTCCATTTCCTCTGGGCAAACAGTAGCTCAGGCCAGACCCAACACCGAGACAACACTGGTCACCTGAGCTACTGGACCCTCCTGTGTTACATGCCCTTCACAGAAGGTTCCCTGTGAGGCCAAGGGCCAGTCATGAGGGGGCACCCTCAAAATAGAGGCTGAAAACACGACAAAGCAGAAGTCTCAGGACTAGGGTCAGAGAAGGTTCTAGGCCTTGTTCAAACTCAGCGCTTGGTGGAGTGGGTTACTTCATTTATTCTTCACAGTGGCCGAGGAGGAGGGGACCAGCAGTTCCTCTTCCAGGCAGTCTCTTTCTCTTGGGCCTCATTACTAGTCCCATTTGCCAGATAAGAAAACTGAGGTGCATAGAATCATGGAACTGTCCATGTCTGTGTGCCCCCACCCCCTAATGCCGGTCTCCTTCCTCACCGGTAACGTGTACTGAACCAGTAACCTGGACTGAGCAGCTGACCAAAGTCTGCAGGGCGGAGGGCAGGATGCAGGCATACCTCACCTCAGCTGCCCACCTAGTGCCAGAACATTCCTCCCCCAGTGTCAAAGTGTGGGTGCCAGGCCCTATTCTAGCCCAGGGCAGCTGGCTCCCCAATCTGTAGAATTTCTTTATGTCCCTGTGAGATGTGGCACTGCTGCTAGGAGACCCCAGACCCATCCGTGCCCCTGGGATCCCATCTCCTTGAGCCTCTGTGTCCCCATCTATGAAGTGGGGACTGACAGAGCCAGTGGGCCTCTGGGGACCCACCTTTTTTTCTGGAGTCTCCCTACATGTGCCAGAAATGCTGCCCAGAAACAGAGCAAAGAGTTTTGCCCTTTCTAGGAACTCCCTTCCTCCCAGGTTGGGCCCTGCGCCCTTCCATCCCAGGGAGGGATCTTTTACCCTGCAAGCCACCATGGACTCAAGGATTTGTTTTAACTCTCTATGAATGACTCATGACTAATCTGCCTCATTATAATCTCTGTAAAATGTTTTCATTGAGAAGTAACTAAAAGATCCTTCCAGAAGGAAAAGTTCTGGGAGCACCCACCAGAGAGGGCTGTGATGGCTTTTGGGGGAGGGGGTGGGGGACCTGTTTTATCCAGATTTGCTTTTGTCAGCAAAGGGATTGAGAGCCTGACCAAAGACAAGTTGAAGATACAAAAAAAAAAAAAAGAAATACAGGTTCAAAAGTGGCATGAAGCACTCAAGCATTCGCGGGGAAAAGGCCTTTGCTCCCCCCTCTCAGCCAAGCCCTCACCACATCCCTGCCGGATCCACTGCCCACAGTTTCTGCAAGATCTGGCAAGAGATTGTCTATTCTGGGGCAATCACGAAAGTGTGTGTGCGCACTCGACTCACATAGAGAACGTCAGGAAAGAAAGGGAAAGTGACCTGCTGAGTATGAGGCAACTGAAGAGGGAGTCTAGGATCAGACCACAGGGGCAGGTGTGTGGGTGAACCTCAGTTTCTCCCAGCCCCGGCTTCCCTCCGAACCTCCTTCCTGCACTAAGAGGTCTGCAAATACTTGCTCTCCTGACAGCCAACCGCCTGAGCGCCGGAGTGTTGCCTCCTGCGTTCTTGAGCAGCAACCCCACCCGGCTACAGACATCCCTCAGCGTTTCCGCCTCCATCCGGAGGCCCTGTTGAGGGGTGGAGGGTGCCCAGAGCGGATGTTGCTGCACAAAGCCTCCGAGGACACCCTCTCCTTGCCCATGACCCACAAGAACAGCCCTGTGACTCAATCCTGCGGAGGTGCCAGGCCTGCCCCGTCTGTCATCTGTCCAAGAGCACATGGCTGGTACCAGGTACCCCTTGCTCTAGCAGGCAAGGCAGAACGGACTCCCAGCACCGCTCCAGGCCTTGTGCCTGTAAACCTGGCCAGACCCACTCCAGCAGTTTGTTCTTGGCAACCAGCCCCAAGTCTACCTAATGCTATTGGAGACCCCTTGTACCCAGGCAGGTGAGTCCTGGCAGCAGGTAGGTCTGCAGGCAGGTGTGGACGGGACACTCCACTCACCTTAAACCCCTGCCCAGGCTAAAGCGCCCGAGCACTGCACTGGTAGTCTAGGATTCGGGTTTAGGGCCGGGTGTGCCGCTAAGTGACTTTGGACAAGTCACAACCAGATCCGGCTTGGTTTTCTCCCGCTGAAATGGGAGTGGGTGGCTCCGTGGAGACTAAACTCCAGGCCTCCGGGACAGTTTGTGATAATGAAGCTGGCCCGCGAAGCTTCCGGACCCTCGCCTCACTCATCTGCGCAATGGGTCGGGTGGGACCCCTCCTAGTGGCCTGCGTTTCCTGTAGGACTTGAGTCTCAGGCCAGGGCGGAGGGGCGAGGCGCCAACGTTCCCTTCCGACCTCCCTGCCTCCACCTTCACCCCGACCCAAGCCCGGGCAAGCCGCACAGGGACCCACACCCCTCGGATATCTGTGCCGCTGGCCTCAGTCTCCCCTCCGCTGTCTGGAGTAGCTCTGGCGCGGATCCCTGCCTCCCTCCCCGTCCAGTTCCCGCTCACCAGAGGTCCAAGCTAAGCTCCGGGAAGGGCGCTGCTAGGCGGGAGGTGGCT